TCCAACATACTATGGTCACTTGGGGGGTTTTGGCTCAATCGCCTCCTTGTGCCGAACATGAAGTTTCTTCAAATCTCTTTGCCATCTAATCAACCCCTTTCGTATTGTCCGTTTAATGTTGGTCTGGATGCTTCTATGGTCTGTCTTTTTTGCCTCAAATATTGCATAGCTTTCGTCCGTCTTTGGATCTCTCGAGAAGCCATGGCTATGGAGTTTTTCGTTCAACCCACTGGGATCTCTCAAAAAACCATTAACTCTCATAATTTCTTTCAACATAAAAAACATCATAAAAATTTATTTTAGATTTTTAATTATACACGCATAAAATCGCAACCCATATTGTTTGAGCCTACCATTTAACAAACACCAACCCAAGCAATTGCAAAAGACGATGGACTCAAGAACAAATTCGAAGCAAAGATCCTAAAATTAACCCCCGTTTGCCTGGAAAGAAAAAGAAATTCAATGTTTTCCTTTACTAACACCCAAGAACAAACTGGGGGAAGAAATTAAGAGGGTTTATGAAAATCTGATGGCACCAGCACCAACATAGCCACTCCTCAAGGAGTCAAATGAATCTTGCAGAAATGGAAGCCGCTGGTGATGGATAAAGATGGGGAAGTTTCATTTCATGGACGGTGACGTTAACGTTGATATAAAACAAAACGTTAATTATCTTTGTTGGAGTTGTTGTCCATATGTCGTCGTCTTATAGGTGCGTACTACCACCTGTCAAGTGCCACGTGGTAGTACCGTACTATTGTATAATTTCTTCTAAAGGAGTATAGCCGTCCGGCGGTAGTCTTTAAATATTACCATAGGCAGTCCAACTCCTGTTTCCAAGTTTTACCCAACCCACAAAAAGGAAAAAGGTTCAGAGTACGTGTACGCAATGCAAAGTGTTTTTGCTTGACACAATAATATATATCTTTCATTTTCAGCGCACTGACTCTTCGGACGCGACACAGATGTTGCCACGTCATCCACTCCTGTCACCTCGAGTTCGATTATATCTGTTCTAACTGATTACGGTACAGTTGTACGTAGAGAATCATTGCTCTTGCAGAAACGGAGCAAACCAAGCATCTCTCACAGCTGCCCCTGCTCTCACGGCTCACAGACGGTAAATTACAAAATTATGATTTTGTTCCCTCATTTGTCTCCAAATCCCTGAACAATCTAAAAGTCATTAGGGGTAATAACGTCTTTAAATACATTTCATCGTCTTCGACATTGGTTATCAGCTGAAGCCCGTAACAGAGGGAGGAGTCAGTCAATTGGATATTTCCAAATTGGCAACCACCATTTTCTTCTTCGATCAATATAGAACGATAATTCTAGAGTTAGTGTTCGCGGAAATGGACGGTGAATCTTGTTCTAGCGGTAAATTCAAGCTCTACGAGCAGTTAGAATTGCAGGAGTTTCAGGACAAGTTCGTGATCAAATCCGTCGAGGCTCCAGATCAAGGCTTCTCCATCGACCGCCGTGACGGGACCATTGAACCACTTAATGGTATAAATTTTTTAGCTTTGTTGATGGAATTTCAATTTTGTCTTATTTTTCTGAAGTTATGTGCTTGTTGTTTATTATTATAAGGTGATTCTTCTTCTTCTTCTGCAAGACCAACCAAAACCTCTACGATATATGGTGTGGCGGGAACCATCAGATTGCTTGCAGGTAGTTAATTGCTTGGCAGATTTTGTGTATTGGATTTTGTTTTGAAAACTTGCATCTTGAGTTTCAGCTTGAGCTATTTAGATGCCATGATGTTTCTTTGAATAATTCATGTTTTTGGTGCAGGAAATTATGTACTTGTAATAACTTCGAGGACCGAAGTTGGGGCCTTTCTTGGCTTCCCTGTTTACCGAGTAACCTCTATGAAGTTTCTGTCCTGCAATGAGGTTTTGAAGAATTCAACTCTTCAAGAGGTGAAGTTTTTTTATTATTACTTCTTTTAGTTGATAATACAAAACTAATTTGAGCGTCTCTTGGGATTTTTAAAGTTTTGAGTCTTGTCTGAAAGCTTCTGATGTCTTTGTGCAGAAAAAGGATGAAGCTTACTTCATGGCTCTGTTGAAAACAGTCCAATCAACTCCAGGGCTGTACTTTTCTTACCAAACAGATATTACATTAAAGTAAATTCTTATACCTAGCGCTCAAACACAATTTAAAAGTTTTTATACCTGTTAGGGTGCTGTTTTCGTCATTATTCTGTGATTACATTCAGACGTGTATCATGTAAGTTTTGCTTCTTTTTGGTTAAGTATCATGTCAATTTACGCTAATTACACATATTTGATAATTTCTACCAGCTTTCAAAGAAGACGTAAGTTAATGGAAGGATGGATGGCCAAACCAATATGGAAGCAGGTTAGTTGGAAACGTGGAGTATTTGGTTTATCTTGAACTGATTATTTCCTGGAAGTAATCCATGTCAGATATATCAGGTGCATATAAGCTATTGTCCCATATATGTAACGTGATGGATATTAGGCCATGGGTTTAGTTTACAGGTATCCTCAACTCTGTCTAAGTGAGAGGGAAAAAAGGGAAAAGAAAGGCTAGCTGGCATAGAACCAAGAGGAGAGCTTTGAGAGAAGGAAACTAGAAAGAATAGAAGAAAAAAGAGAAAGGGATAGAACAGAGATGAAGGGGGAAATGCTTGGTCATAAACCAAGAAGTGAATTTTAAGAGACGGAAGAAAGAGAAGGAGATAGAGGAGAGAAATGTTACTTTTCATGGATATTTTCCAATCTTTTTCTTATGCTATTTTAGCCCCTGTCAAATGTTTTTCTCATTTACAATATGATCTATAATTACTAATTGCTTGGTCAGGAGTTTGAGCTTTTAATTTTGTTTTTGTTTCCAGGCTGACCCTCGATTTGTTTGGAACAGAAATCTTTTGGACGAACTTATTGAGTATAAGGTTACAAAGACATTTCCAAAAGTTGTCAGTTCTTCAAACTCAGAAAACTTTTTGCTGATTCACATTTATTCTCTCATGGCAGCTTGATGGGTTCATTATTCCTCTACTACAAGGAAATATCCTGAAGCTACTGATTCCTTATGTCTATTACTTAAGATTTCTCTCTCTCTCTCTCTCTCTCTCTCTCTCTCTCTCTGTGCATGCATATGTGCGCCCATGTAAGGGGGATGAAGATTCTGAAATTAGGTTTGTAATATATTCAATTGGGCAATGGTATGGTATTTCTTTAACCTACATTTAAGCTTCCAGGCTGCACAGCTTAAGCTAAAAGACTCACCTGCCACACTTACGATATTCTCAAGGAGATGTACCCGACGTCTAGGTACAATTTTATAGAGATGATTGTTCTTGTAGTCTTTGTGTCTGTGTCAACTAGTTATAAAAAATCTAAGCATGAGATGCTATAATGTGGTCACCAGGCACAAGAATGTGGAGAAGAGGAGCTAACCTTGAAGGAGATGTAGCTAATTTTATTGAAACTGAGCAATTGGTGGAGTGTGAAGGTTTCAGGTCCTCATTATTGCAGGTAATCCCAATTTGGAGGTTCAGAAAATAATTGTGTGCTTAGGGAATAGTATTAGCAGTTCTGTAACTGAATATGTACATTTACATTATGTTCCAAAGCTTAATAGGGCCTCAGCTTATATCTTGGGCTCATTACACACATGATCAACTAAGTTGGCTGAGGACGAAACGTTTTGGAAAAGTATAATCAGTGCTCCTTGTTGATATGAGCAATATCATAATGGTAGAACTTTTTTTTCTTTTCTAATCTTTATGAACTGGCCCTCACTTGAGTGAAACAAATGTATAGTTTAACAAGGACGGATTCATATTTCCAATTTTTGTGCATCTAGACACTTTTAGATAAAGTACTTTCTAAACGGGCATAAGCTGTTTCACAATCAATCCTTAGATTGATAGTAGACAGGAGGTTTTGAGCATTTATTGTCATCATTTAATATGAGAAGACTTATTTCCTTTTTCTTAAAAAAAAAAACATGCATTATACCTTTTCATATGTTTTCAGATTCGAGGTTCAATTCCACTTCTTTGGGAGCAAATTGTTGACTTGAGCTATAAACCACAACTTAAAGTTATTGATCATGAGCAGATGGTAATTTTGTCCAATATGCAACTCCACCCCTCCTTTCTCTTTTCTTCTGGCTTCATGGTGCAGCTCCCTTGTTAGAGTTGTGTTTTGAATTTTCCCATCTATCTGCAGTCAAATGTTGTGGAGCGCCATTTCTTTGATCTTTTCCAAAGATATGGAGAGATAATAGCTGTAGACCTAACTGATAAAGTAAGGATTTCTTCTCTTTTACATTATACTTTGAAAGAATAAATCTTCCACACTAATTTAGCTTCACTGTTAAGCTACTATATCTGTGAAGAGGAAGAATTTGGCCAGCTGAAAAGATTACAAATTTTGTTCGTAAGACATAATCACCATTGTGGCTCCGGGATTTGCTGAATAAGACAGTTTTTTTACTTGTTTTTATTTTTAAATTCTAGTTATATGTGCTACACAAGTTTGACCTCCTTTTAGTTTAACTGTTATGCAAGATTTATGTTGTTTCATATGTTTCCGGTTTATATACCAATTTCCATTTATTTTATCTGTAGCATGGTGATGAAGGTCAACTAAGCATGGCATTTTCTGCCGAAGCACAAAATCTGCCAAATGTGAGGTGACAATTTGCACTTTTATGTATGTAATTATGTTGATCCCCAACTGAGTCACTCTCCCACTTCAAGTAGATTTCTTTTTTGTTATTCTGTTAAAGATTGCAGTTTACATATTCAAGCCTCCATTTTGTCATTATCTTCACCCATTGGCTACTAA